ATATATATACACTTGCTGGAGTACCCGTCCACTGGACGGAAGTTATGTAAATTCATGATTAATGGAAGGTTATCTTACGACATGAAAAGTTGCTTCCCCTATATGTAATTGTAAAAAACGCCCATAAAAAGTGCAAAACACAAAATGTGAAACAGCAAATTTGCACATATCTCCGCATGGACTCAACAAACCTTCATACCAAATTTGGTGAAGCTCCATCCACAGGGGCGAAGTAGTGATAAAACCACAAAAGGCAAAATGCAAAACTGAAAATTTGTATGTACCCCCGCATGGATCTAATGAACTCTATACCAAGTTTGGTGAGAGTACTATTATATTTATATAGATACATTCTTCACATGTATATGTATACACTATTCAAAGAAAGAACACTCCATTTGAAGTCAGATTATAATTATACAATGATGTTTTAAAAGTCATTATCTAGTGAAAGGAGTTTGTTACACTTGACAGCTGCTGCTCCTACAGTTCAGGTTGTAAACTGAAAAAAAAAAATCCTCATTATATATCATTTATATCTTAGCACATTTTTCAGTCCAGTTGAGAACCAACTCCAAAATATTCCTGATATTTAGAGCCAGAAAATAATATCATCCTTATTTTTTGTGTTTTGCGTAAAGGATTTAACACGTAAACACTTAATAGAAGATCTTTCAAACAGACGTGAATCGTTTATTTTGTCTGAAATCTATAAATTTAAAACCATCACTCCTGGTCTTCCTAAATTTGTAAGAAAATTCTTGAAAGCTGTAGATATTTACACATCGGGATATTTTAGGTAATTTTTTGTGAAGAATTATCCACCTACCTATACTTATCAACTGTTTGTTTCTACAAAATTAAACATACATGTACCTCTAATTATAAATTTTAACATTTTAAGATTAAATTTGAGATAACATTAAGCAAAACTATATGTTTTCACAGTCCGTTACACTTTAATAATAGTGTGAAGTTTAGCTCTGTTTCATAAAAATGTATGAAAACATATTACCTCAAATTTATATAGAATTCATGTTTCACGCCATAATAGTATATACAAAACATCAAATATAAAATCAGCTTGTGGCAATTATTTAGTATCTGTTTGTAGGGAAGGTAACAAGATATCATACAAACATGG